AGGGGGGGTGAGGTCTAGGGCAGTGGTCCCCAACTTTGGGCTTCCAGATGTTCTTGAACTACAACTCCCACAAGCCTTCACCACTGCCTCTGCTGGCCAGGATTTCTGGGGGTTGAAGTCCAAGAACATCTGGAGGCCCAAGGTTGGGGACCACTGGTCTAGGGGACCAGCGATCAGAGGAAGGATCGGCCTTCTGCCCAAGTCAGGCCCTGGAGCGAAAAGTGTCAACGGCGGTTGCACCCGGTTCGGAGAAATCCCAGATTTCTCAGCCCAAGCCCATTAAGTAGGTCATGCCCGTTTGTACATGATCCAGATCAAAGCAGGAGGATGATAAGTCGCATCCTAGAATGACTGAGTGGGAGGGGGCCTCTAAGACCATCGATCAACCCTCCCCAATTCCGTTCCAGGGTCCGAACAAACTGAATTTGCTGCTTAACAGTTTGCAAATCATGTCGGTCTGCTGGTATGTTTCGGTTCGTTTAAAGACAAGCCAACAGCCTGAAGTTCGGAAGACTTTGTTTTCGTTCGAAGAGTTCGAGCCCCTCCGTGCAAAACCAGAAGAAGACTGAACAGCCACTCTGGGGTTTTCAGGGGCTTCACTTAAATAATAATAATAATACTGTAAAGACATTAAAACCCCATTCGTACCTGGTGGCACAAATCAAGGAGACAAACGGGTCCTCCAAACCGAATTGGGGTACGGGTGGGCATCCCTAGTTCTGGGCATTTGGGGTTGATCCAGACCAGGAACGCTTTGAAGGAAGAGATGAGGGGCTTTCAGAATTCCCAGCTGTCAAGGCTGCCAGGGCTGGCTGGACGGACGGATGGACGGACGGACAGACACATAAAAACACCCCCAACACAGATGGGGAGAAGCAGAGGGGGAGGGCGTTCCTCATGCCGCTGCTCCCACCGGCCTCATTCTGCCACCTCCGGGTAGGAAGGAGGGTTGTGGGAGAAGGAGCGCAGAAGGGGAAGGGAAGGAATGGGGTTACAGCCTATTGAAGGAGGGATGGACGTCCGAACCACCAGCAGCGCGGACTCTCCTGTCCCTCCTCTGCTCAGGGGGAGTCTCTGACTGGTTTGAGAAAGGAAGTCACAGTGACCTCGTCCTCTCCTTCCCCTGAGAAGAACAGCTCCGTGCTCTTCACGCAGGAGAGAAGTTGGTTTAGACCCTCTTCCCTCTGCCCAGCAGAGAGAGAGAGAGAGAGATCATGGGGGCAACACTGTCCAACTGGCCCTGGCTGAGCAAGCCACAAATTAAGGGCCGGTCCAAAGTACAGGATTGTTCTGCACCAGCAGCATCTTCTGGGCCCAATGTTTAATTTTGCACATTTTTAAAGCACGGGGGAGGGAAAAAAAGGAGTCCAGCCTCTCCATTCAACCACCTGCAGGTTCTGAGGTTTTGTTAAGCGATGCTCCGAGCGATGAGTGATTCCAGAAGCCAGGACGGCTGTCATTTCCGAAAGCATCTTCCTTTCAATCATCTTAGACCAGCAGAGCAGGAAGGATCCTCAGAGTCCAGCCCTTGCTTAAGGAGGCCCAGCGGGGAACTGAACTCCCAGGCTGATGCCTCCAAAGCTTCTGCAGGCAGACTCCGTTGCTGTGATTTCTTCTTGCAGGGGGCAACAGCAGAGGTAGGAAATTGGAAGGGAGCTTCCTTCTTTCCTGCCTCTCTTAAGCCCCCCCAGGGAACAAAAGCAAAATGAGCCAGACAGCAGTTTTTCCTTCCAAAACCGCAGCCCTCTTTGGTCCAGGCCTGCAAAACGGGCAGCCGTTCTCCCACGGCGGCTGCTAGCTGAGCCAAGCCAGCGCCTTGCACCGGAGGAGGCCCAAGGCCCGCTGCACGAGGCTGCAGGGCTTCTCCCGAGGACCTGCCTCGTCCCACATGGCCACCATCTCCGCAGGGGCCACCTGGTGGACGCCGAACATCACCTCCCGGTAGCAGCAGGGGTCAGGGGGCACGTGGGCAGACCCCGCCATGCGGGCCAGGTGCTTGGGGGCGAGGCCCGCCCGGCGGGTGCAGAGACCCACAAAGACGTCCTCCACGGGGATCAAGGGCACGTGGCGGGCCGCCCCCAAGATGGCGGCCAGGGAGTCTCCGGAGAGCACGTAGGCCGTGCCGCTGCAGTAGGGCGGGAAGACACCTTCCGGGTAAAGGGAGGCGGGCACGTGGTGGTGGCTGTTGGGGTCTCGGTCGGGGCGCACCCTCCAATGGATCCGACCCAGGTAGGCAGGTAGGCGGGCGAGGTGCCCTCCGATCGCTGGAGGTGTTCCACCAGGGCGGGCAGGTTGAGGAAGACATCGTCGTCGGCTTTGAGGAGGAAGAGGGCCCCGGAGCAGTGGGTGGTGGCCCAGCCCAGGAGGGCCAGCGTCTTGAGGGTGAGGTTGCGGTAGGTGTCCATGAAGCGCCCCTGGATGATGTCTCGGTGCCCGGCGGCCTCCCGCTCCAAAGCCGCCTGCCGGGAGGGCTCCGGGGGCAATCCCAGGGTGAAGAAGGTCCGGACGGTGTAGTCCCCGGCCCACCGGACGCCTCCCCAGGTGTCGCGCACTGCCTGCCGCTGGGCTGTATGCTCTGGGGCGCTGGTCACCAGGACGAGCAGGGAGGGGGGCCGGGGGCTGCAGGCCTCGGGCGGAGGCTGCAGGAGGAAGTCCTCCGAGGAGGGCAGCAGGGGGGCGCTTAGGGGGTGGTGCCCCCCACTGTCCAGCAGATAGGGCAGGGAGCCGGAAAGCAGCACTTCGTGGCCTCCGCTGGCCAGGAAGCTGAGTGTGGAGAGCGTGGTCAGGCCGGAGAGCAGCCCCCACAGCAGCCGGAACCGCAGGCAGCGTTTCAGGAGGGACGGCAGAGCCATGGGGCGGCCTTCAGGGCAAAAAGGTCACGGGGGGGCGGCCGCGGCTCCGGGAAAAGAGGCGCCACCTTCCTGCAAGAGAGAAAAAGCCACAGGCGTGAGAGAAGGACGTGGCTGCCACAGGGGCTGCACCCTGGAGCTTCTGAGTGGGGTGGCGGCACCATGACCAAGAATCCTGTGGCATCTGGAAGGTGGCCCGGTTCACCTGCTTTTGCAGGCATGCAGCCCCCACCTCCCATTCCCGTCCAGATCCAGCCAGGGCTTTTGAGCCTGGGGTCCGGTGAGAAAGGCGAACGTGCCAAGAAGCGTGACAAGTCACCGAAAGTAATGACGATGAGCTAAAGCTACCCAGCGTGGTGCAGTGGATGAGAGTGACTCAGGGAAGGTAGATTCGGATCCCTCCCCAGCAGCCGTGGAAAACAGCCAACGGCCTGCGTGAACGTGGAACGGGTAAAACCAGTCCTTAAATTTTCCCCTTGCCCTGGAAGCCAAATGCCAGCCTGTCAGCCCAGAAGGAGAGACAGGCACAGAAATTGCACAATATAAATATTTGGCAAAGGAGAACTGAAAATCCTTCTGGGCCGGAGGTGTGTTCATCCAGTGCCATAGGGTCCTACTACCGGAGGGCGAGGGAGGAAGGGCTGAGCCAGCTGGACAGGGAGCCAGGGTCTCCCCCAAGCCCTTTTCTTCCTCCTTCCAGAATGCATCTCCCCAAGCCCTTCCTCCCGCTTGGCCCGGCTTCTGTGGTCCAGCCGGACAAAGGAGGCAGGCAGGCAGGCGGGTAAAGGGCCTCCCTCCCCCTCCCCCTGGCAGGACTTCATCTATAGGGTGGCGCTGGAGGGGGGGCCCTCCGGCATCGCAAGCTGCCTTTTCTGCAGGGACGGGGGCGGGGAGGGCATCCTGGCTAGGAGCCCAG